GAACTACTTAGCTTTCAAATCAGGATTAACTGTTAATGGGTTGCGATTGGTTGAAGAACTACTTAGCTTTCAAATCTTGAATGTAGTGACAAATATTCCTGATTACTTAATCTATTTACTATAGAAACGTCAAGTCATCCCAGGATTAGCTCTTGATAGTTTGAGATTGGTAGAAATATGCACCTACCAATCGAATAATCGTATCACAGTGGTTTGCTCACTAATAATAAAATTAATGTTCACATATTTTGTGTACAGGTCTCAACTTTAGGTACATGTTTGGGCCCATGGTGGCATACACTTTTATCACAGCATCTATACGTCCACTCCATTAACCCTTCTTCATTAAACATAGATTAAACCATTATCAATCAATAGCAAAACACGTTAAGAAATTACCAACCACCGGATTAAAAAGAAAAAGGAATTCGACGTTGACCATATAGCTCTTGATAGTCTTAATTAGATTTCACCCTGATCATATTGTTAACTTTAAATATTGAAAAAATGAAGGTGACCTTCAGTTCTGTTATCAATCCGGTTTACTTAAAATATAACCTTATCGAAGTACTAATTTAAAGTTCATATGATTAACCGACAAAATAACCGAGAACTGATTACGTGGTTTCGGTAAACCAAAAAATATAAATGGTACGGCTTGCGTTAAGCAATTTTTTTTAATTAAATAGTTAAATGAAAATCGATTCAGATTATAACCAAACAAAACCGATTTTCAGTTCATGAATCATTCGTTCGCAGTGTAATTTTGGGTATATTTTTTAATTTATTTATAATCCCCTATATAATTTTATTAGCAGCAACTGAAATTACATGAGAACAACCAAGCTCTCTTGAACCTCTGTAGATCCAACATCAAACATGTCTATAAAATTTATGATGGAGATTCATATCTCCAATTTTCTCCATTTTAAAAATGTTGTTATGTGAGTGTTTCACGGAAGGGTGTCTAAATGAAACTGTGTTCCATTTCAGGAAGCCCATAATTGGATCCGCGCCAACCGGGCCTCCTATACTCTCATTTGGGCCTTTCAATAACAGCTTTGAGTTCTAACTCCGCTACAAGGTTTGAGCAATTTTATTTAACTTTAATTTGTATTTTTAATTTTAATCTTTTATCAAATTTTACCGATTTTGGGAGGCAATCCCTTATTTTTAGAAACTGCCAGATTTCGTCATCTTCCCCTTCCAGAAAATCTACCAACAACATCTCTACTCGGACCTATCCCTACTACCTAGCATTGGGCAAGAACGCACTCACCCCGGGAAGACGATTGCATTGGAGTCCTCTACGGAATTCACTTTCTCCTCTGGGAGGTGTGCAAAATCACCCTTCCATCTTGGATGTGATTTCTTTCTTCAATACAAGAGCATTTCCTTCAGATCCTCGATTGGGTCAATATTGATAAGTACATAGTATTTATAGGTAAAACGGAGAAGAAGGTTGGTGATGGCGGAGGTGGAGGCTAAAATGCAATACCAATTTGGCCAAGCTAAGCCACCTGGTAGTTAGTTTGGTAATCTTTTTGGACACACTTGAATTCATTTATTATGGGGTTGTTTGGAAATGGGATTTGTTGTGATGCATGTAACCAATCCACTAGCGAATAGAATTTGCCCTCTTTTTTGTTAAATATGGTTTCCCATAGTCGATATTAGGTTCACTCTTTTTAGATGCAAACTGATGATTTTCAATTTTTTAATTGTTAGTAATTTTTTGCATTTTTTTCATTCTTCTTAAATGTTATGTACAAAACTTATATACTTTTTTTCTGCACTCCTCTTCACTTGATTAACTGTTGTTGCCATGCCAAACTCTCACATCCATTATTGAAGTATCATTTTGTTGGTTTCTTTCGTGATGCAAGATATGGTTGCATGTGTTTTGGTGATTTAGATTTTTTTTTTAAGTACATCGATGCATGAGATAATTTTATTTTGCATGATTCACATCTTATATTTTACAATGACACCAAGTTAGATGCGTTTCTAATCAAAGTTGAAGTTGTTACTATTAGAGCATGGGTACCTCCCATTTTATCGAGGTTAGATCGTCTGAACCACAATTCGATCATGGTTAAAGTGATTTTTGGATGGAAATTTGGGTATAAGGACATGTTTGATATTTTTCTAAAGTATAAGGGTATGATGTAAAAAATAGTGCATATTTGATAAAATTGCATAGTAAATGGCCATATCATACCTATAACCCAATTATATTTAATTAGATTTCAAATTCATTTCTTAAAACTTAATTAGTCAAATACTTGAGTACTTTCCTACATTATTGACAGCCAATTAGAAAGGGATGGCAAAAATGTCTGTAACCGTGGATATCCGCCCGAATCCGATCGAATCGGGTAGGGTAAAACCCTAACCCGAAGGAATTTTAGTGGGTACGGGTAAAACTTGAACCCGAATATTGCGAGTAATAGGTAGGTATGGTTTTCTCACTATCCAACCCGAACTCGCCTGATTATGACATGCATATGCATTTTGTCTAGAAATAATTATTAATTTTCTTTACCATATTTTATATTTAGCATATAACTATAATATTTTCATAAAATTATGTTGTTTTAATTAATTTTCTTCACCCTAATGAATTATTGTCGTACTTTTACGTTTATGTAATGTGAGAATATGAGTGAATGGTACGTAACATATTGGTTGGAGTTATAAAGAGAAATTATTATCCATGGATGACCGTGGATACCTGAAACCCAAACGGGTATGGGCATGATTTTGATTTTTTACCCGTTTCTTATGTGGGTATGAGTAACATCCGAACTACTTTGGGTAGGATAACGGATAAGCACTATCCGCCCCGACCCATTGCCATCCCTAACAAGCATCAACAACATGGTGAAAACAAACATATATAAGTTAGTCATATGTACTCATATTTATCAAGCTTCCCCAATGAGGAAATTACCAAACAAAACAATTACTACAAGAATCTACGACACGAGTGAAACCAACATTTTGGTTTCACCTATTAGAAAAAAAAAATGTAGGATTGCAATTCATCCAATACTTACGCAAGAAAGAAAGTAACACGACGCACCTATTAGGAAAAAAGTAGAGTTGCAATCCATCCAATACTTACACAAGAAAGAAAGAAACACACAACTACAAAAATAAAATCAAGAAATACTTCAACAACAAAAACAACCCGGCCAACGGACGGGGCCCTGTGCTAGTTATATAGATGCACAATCTAGTAACTTTTTCCATACCAGATTAAATGTTTAACTCACTTCATCGATGGAACAAAATGTGAAACCGGGTCGACTAGGGGTGTTCAAATGGTTACTATGGTTATTACCAAACCAAATAAGGCTAAATTTCATTAACCATGGAATACAATATCATAACCAAACCGTCCAAACTAATACAACAACCAAATTAACCAAACTAAAGTTTAATCGGTTTGGTTAATTGGTTAACCAGATTAACCAATATAAAATCATATATATTATCATTAAGTGAGAGATTTTTTTGTTAATTTATCAATTCACAATTTATATAATGAATAAAACATAACAATCAACACATAGTTATAGTTGACCCTTAACATAAATACATGCAACCAAGACAATTATCTTACGGTTAGTATAGAAGTATTCACCAAACAAAAATTTATCACAATGATATGTGTTAATGAATTGTTGTGTTTGTTTGAATTGACTTAGTCTCTTAGAAATTTTCATATGCTGAAAAGGACCTTACTTTCAAGTTTTCATCCAACATAATGTATGTGGTTATTTAAATTAGGCGTTCATATGTTGTGGTCTACACTCTACATATACAAATATACATTATAGGAACAATATCAAGCTTTATATTTTATGAGTCTAAAATGATGAACGTTTAACTCTTAAATGGTTATTCAAAATATTAAGTATGTGTATACATTAGATATATGGCTAATTATTTATCTGGTTAATTTGGTTTGGCTGGTTAGGAGTGTCTGAAACCAAACCAAACCACCTAAACCAAACAAGCTAAAAACTTTAACCAAACCAAACCAATTATCCAAATTAACCAAACCAAACTATTCAAATAGTACTGGTTAAAACGGTTACCATGGTAACCACACCGTTTGAACACCCCTAGGACGACAATCTTGTTTCAAACACATAAATTTGTGCACTCCACCGGGAGTGGACTGGACTCCAGTCTATTACAAAAGAAGTAACCAAATTAGTAACGACAGTACTGCTGATGTCGCATCTACTACCACAACTCCGAACCAGAGAAGGAAGAGGATTCTAGTTAGTGGTGGTAACTAACTGGTAAAGCAGCAGTAAGCATCTGACGTAATCGTTTTGGCAGGCAGGGCAGGAAGGAATAGACAGGGAATCACGAGAAGTGGATTGAAGTCCTTGCAAGAAACAATAATGTGATGAGATGCCAGCAGCAGATGGAAAATAAAGGAGCAAAGCTATGGCATCCATCCATATACTGTGTTTTTCTCCTTTCCTTTGTGTGTCTGTTGTCAGAAATGTCGAATCTTATGATTCACTTGTCAAACTCAATTCTTCCCACCAGTCCCACCCACACATTTCTCGCCTCCTGTCTTGGGCCTTGGCTTCTTCCCTTCTTCTCTTTACTCTTTTTCTCCCTTCCATAAAAGGGCAGATACCACTTTAGCCAACAGTCCAGAGACTGCAGAACCGAAGAAGAAGAAGAAGAAGAAGACAGCTTTTATCCAACAATGTCGAGCACTGGTCCTACTCCTCCCGGCGATCTCCGCAGTATTCAGGCAATATGCTCTTAGTTCACTTTCTTTCCGACGGGCTTCTCCACATAAACTTGACCCTTTTCCAGATTTTCTTATCCTCTGCCAACCTGGGTTTGGCTCATTGCTCTGTAATTGCTAATGATCTTCCTTTTTTTTCCCCTCTTTCTTGTGATAACAGAAGCATGTACTGAAGGTTAACATTGACTGTGAAGGCTGCCAGAAGAAAGTCAAGAAAATGCTCAAGAAGATTGATGGTAAGTGAAGAATGCTTCTAAGACAATTAAACTAGTCACGTTCAGCCTTAATTTCCTTTCTTGAATATGAAGTAACCGTGACGGTTTTCTGGGCGACTCAGGTGTGTACTCCGTAGAGATAGATGCAGAAACCCAGGTGGTGACCGTGTCAGGAACTGTGGATTCTGCCACTCTGATCAAGAAGTTGAGCAAAGTGGGGAAGTTTGCAGAGCTTTGCTCTTCAGGGGATCCGTCCAACAATAGCAGCCGAAGTCAACTTCAAGCTCCTGCCCTTCAAGGGCAACATAGCCGTCCTTTCCACAACGGCAGCCACAACACCGGGACTGGCTCTGCTGGCACGACAAACCCTGGGAATTCGAATGCTGTGGCCATGGTGGGAGGCTTGGACAACAATGGAGCTTCATTAGTAAGGCCTCATACAGCAGGGTTTCATGGCACCGGTCACACTTCTTCCAGGTTTGCTGGGATGCCACCAAGTTATGAGCTGAATCGCCAGCCAGCGATGGCAATTGTCAACAGCCAGCAAGACTCGTACCACAACTTCCCGTCTGCAGACATGAACAGCAACAACTATTTTGGGAATAGTGATATGAGGTTCACTGCTCATCAACCTCTGATGATGAGTCATGCACTTTCGTCACAGCCTGCTACCGTTCCTATGACCAATCTTGATTATGGCCATCATGAGGCAGCGCAGCAGCTTTACCATTACATAGGATATCAATAGGCTGAATCAACTCGTAGATGTTAGTAAATTCGAATGTTCTTAGTTTACTTTTAGTAGTCCAGTCCTACTTATCTTCTCAATTATATGATAGATTGTAACAGAGAGTTGAAAGAGAGACAAGCTTTTTCTTATATATTCGCCTTCCAACATTGTCTATGCTATTGCTTGGTTCCCAGTAGCAGCTGCTGCAAGGTCGCCGGGCAGCTAGCACAAAAGACTTTTCTCGCCTAAAACTAAAAGCTTAGCAAGTATATATATATGGTATTGATTGGCTTATCAACATAGTTCTTACTTGCAGAAGAAGAAAGACAATTCAGCTTTCACCTTGGCCTCCAGATAATACCCAACATCAAACAACGTTTCCCTTGTATGTTTGCTCTCATCCAAGTGAATGGGCCCTGCAATTATGATCAAGCAGTTTGGTTGCAGCATATAAAGATAGATGGAAACCAGGTTTCCGGGGGGAAAAAAACACAGCTGCGTGCTGCAAGTGAATCAGAATCTGAAAATTCTCCGTAATTCTCCGTATTATGCTGGTATGTAACAGAGGAGGTAACTTGGTCTAAAAGAACAAAGCAGCAGCAATCAAAATGAACCCATGTTGTTCATACTATTTTAGAAGACTACAAGACGAAGACAAGGAAATGATACCTCAACTATTAACCACTCTGGCATTCGTCTGAGCAAGAACAGTTTCGTACAAAATAACAGAATGATACATTCCATCTCATCTATTTCTTCCCATCTATTGGAAGGTCCTTCGAAGTTCGAACCTTGAAGTTACACTGTGGGATGTAATGCTCTGGCATACTTGAATGATTCTCTATTTGTTTCTCTTCAACGCCATTTGAAACAGTGATCGCTAGCTAAACCCACTTCACTTCACTTCAATTGGGATGGCTGTATCTTAACGTTTCTGTGCTTTTCGGCGGCGAGACTGGGCCTTCTGCCATTTCTTTCTTGGTACAAGTTTGCTCTTGGGTTTTAATTTCAACTCAGGTGAGAACTTATAATTAGGATCTCTCATGCGTGCCTGTATATCCTTGAAGAACTCCATATTCAACTTCTTAGGCCCTCCTTTGCGAAGCTCCTCATACTCTGGCCCAGAGACAACATTTTCAAATGCTCCAATCAGAATGTCCATATCGCTCATGATTTCCCACACATTGATATAACGCCCATCTGGCCCTTTCTTCAGCTTTTTCAATGCATTTTCAACTGCAAGTTTCCTGGCTTGCTTCCCTGGGGACAACTCTTCGGGTTCGTCTTCTGCTTTCAGCATTTCTGATAATGTCCTGTACTTGGGCTTTTCCTCGAACTCAAATAATCTGTCTATGTACTTATCACTGGCTTCGTTTGGATGTGCTTCAGTGGGAGCGTCGTCGTCATCATCCATCTCACTACCGGTCCACAAGCTCTTCTCCTCGTCACTCCCAGACCAAACACTTGCCAACTCATCACTGTCATCAGCATCTATAAGGTCGGAGTGCTGTTTCGCCTGCTGTCTCACCTTCCGAATCTCTTTTTGCAAATCGCTGAGGTGTTCATTGGGTTCATCTTCATCTCCACTTGCTGTCCATAGAGAAGTGTCTTCTTCCTCCATCGAGTTCTTCCATGCTTTCTTGAAATCTTCATTCCCTGGCTTCACACTGCCAAAGAGATCATAGCCCTTTCCCCTCTGTCGAGCATACGATCGACAGGAAACTGCAGAATGCATACAGTAAAAAACAAAGAAGCCATGTACCACAAGTTAAAGCAGACTGCCTTATGTGAGGCAGTTTCACACATAGCATACATGAAAAAATAGCTTTCTGCCACTCAAATGGTCAAACATAATACCACAGGGCACGACCTCATGAACATGAAATCAAATCAGCCATTGTTACAAGAATTCTTCCATGCTTACTTTGGCTTGGTGGAGACATGGCCTCGCTGTAACTCCAATGTAACAGATAGTTAACGGAAGAAGTTAACAGACTCATCGTGGCTAACCCACATAATTATTATCCTATACAAAGAGGAGACCAAACACGTCGATCATAACTCTATAATTATTAGTTAGTAGCAAATTGCAGGAGGCAAATAGTTGAGGGTTCTTCACACAAGACTTTTAACGAACATGTGGTGGGCGAAAAATGTATTAAGCATTGCGAAAGCTCCCACAGTGATTGGTGGTAGTACTGAAAGAGTGCAAGTAATAAAGGGCCGATTCGTGCGAGAAACCAGTATGCATAAGGCGAAACTAACCTTGTAAAGCGGGAGAAAATCGGCCATAAACGGCGGGGGGCGAAAGAGTTCTCGCACAACTAGGAAGCGCCGTGCGTAGTCTGAAAGATGGGAGAAATGAGCTGTGGGTTCTGAAAAGCGAAGGAAGGGGGGAAAGGCGGGAATAGAAGGTCCTAGCCATCCTTGTGTTCTGCAGACCACCGCTCCTCCCTGGACCAAGTATGTTGACGGCTGGAGGCTGCCGCTAGCCCGCCTATCTGCGTTGCGTTAGCAAAGGAATGGGTTATAAGTTATGTAACTTTTTATAATAAAAATATGTGGTCAAATTCTGAATACACTAGTTCTTAAACAAAAACCCAAAAACAATATTTTTTTATAAAAATTTCTAAAATACACATGTTTTCACCAAATCGCTTGCGACACAAGTGATTTAAACAATCATCGCTGGAGAGAAACACGATCATGTATAAATCACTTCAATGAGAAGTCAAGGTTGTCAAACTTGTTTATGCTAGTGAGCCGATTTTGCAAGTGGAATGATCTGACCGTGGTACAATCAGTATTCATACCGGATCTAATAAAATACATGAGAAAAATGAAAATCCTCAATTCCAAGTAAATTAGTCATGAAAAAGCAATTAGAAGAATTATTTCACACAAAATAATTTATAGATAAGAATTGGTAACTACTAACTAGTAGTAAGCAATTAGATGAGTAAAAATAAAAGTATATGAAATGAATATTATTAAACGCAATAAATATTAGGGACTTGTGATAAATCCTATGAAGGGTGTTTATTTTTGTCATAGTCAAACGCGATAAATATTAGACACGAGGCTAGGGTTAGGTGCAGCAACCTAGGCATGTTGGCTTTAATCAAAAACGATCTTGCATTTATCGCTTACTCCCCTAGCGATCTTGTGTTTATCAGATTTCAATATAAATATACGACCCTAACACCGTATTTCACTCTCATTTCCCCCTCTTCTCCACCTTCGTAACATAAACTTCCTTCTTCTCCGCCACACTTGCAGAAAATCTCACTACCACACTAGAACTCATTCCCTCATTTTTTTAAGGTATGCATGAATTTGCTTAGTATGGTCATGTTTAAATAGTTGTGTGTTTGTGTTTCACTAGTTACGCATTGTGTTAATTATGCTAAATATTCGGATTAAAGGTGGATGTATGATGGCTTATGGTATGTTATATGTGATCGTTAGTTATTTTAAATTGGAGACATGGGTAGATTTTGAAAATTTCAGCTTCTTATTCGGTGGAATGGTCGGGTGACAAACTCTCAAAGCGAGATTGATTATGAAGATGGTGAATCCAGTAAGTTGAAAATTGAGACCAGATTCACGTGGCTAGAACTCTATGTCGGTCATAGTGGAACCAATTACGGATATGATGGCAGTGAATGCTCTTATCACCATTATTACGTTGAGATTTTTTTTTTCCAAATGCACTAGTTCTTTAAAAAAATTCCCAAATACAATAGTTTAAAAAATTCCTAAACAACACATGTTTTGCAGGAGGGCATGAATGAGGTGGTTATTCAAGCAATTATGAAGGAGGTAGTTATGTAGGCGGCGATGTAGGAGATGGGGTACCATGGGGCGATGTTGTTCCACATCGTGTCAATTCTGTTGAGCCCGCCCCATTGTTGAGTCACATGGCGTTCAATGACCGACTTGGGATCCAGAATGATCTAACATTGAAAATATCATTCAGGCATCCAGGCGATCTGCACAAAGTCGAGATGAAGATGTTGGCAGTGATGGTTGCGAGCATCCCACTAATGAGATGCCGAGTTATCCTATTGAAAGTGACGAGGATAGTGAAGAAGATTTAGGATCTACGAGTGAGGAAGATGATACAGATGATGAGGTTGGGGTCCGGGAGCCACCTACTCCATACTACACAAATATCTTATATCCCTACACATCCCTTATATGCTCATAACAACATAATCGTGTCCCAGCTTGTGGGAGTGCCTGTCGTACGTCGGTGGGGAATCCAAAGCTCTAACGCTTGACTGCTGCTCGGGACTGAAGCAAGTGATAGAGAAGAGCAGGAAGTTCCTCTGCTTGCTGATTAAGAACCGCGACGAACCCAACTTGGGCGTCAAGATCAACATCTCCCTCGCTGTTAGCCTCCCAGATTCCTGCAAATCTCCACCACCATCTCTAATTGAAATCGATTTGTTTTTCAGTAATTGGTTTGGTTACGGCATGGCGGGCCCTAATAAACTGCAGGTCCGTTTCACCTGAAGCCTAATTTGACCGAGGCGAAGAAGTTTGATGGACTGGATTAACTCATTGGGTATGAGGATGATTTTCGGATCAGGGTTACAGAGAGGGGAAACATATTTGAGTTTGTTCCGAAATGTGTTTATAATTTTATTGGGTATAATTTTGGGTGGGGTTGAGTTTGGTTTGATTGGGTATAATTGATTTGGTTTATTGATTTTTTATTATTATTTGTTGATAACATTGCATGCTGACCGGAGTAAACTTGTAGACTTTTGAATAGAGATAGACGAAATTACCTTTTTGTTACTAGTCCAAATAAATGTGATTGAAATATGCACAATTAAAGGGTTTGGGATAGGGTCAGTAACTAATGGTTACTGACCTATCAGTAAATACACGGGAACCGTAGATCTGGGGATGGAGCAATCGGGTGGTTGGCTGGACGCGGAGGTGGGGAGGATAATTTTTGTCCGTTTTTGTATTTTAATTTTTTTTATTTATTCCGCATTTCAATGCTGACTTTTCAATGAAAGAGAAAGAATAACCTTTTCTCTGCTACTTTGGGTTCGTTTGGAGAACGGGATTTAGGGCGTGGATTCATTGAATTCGTAGATTTTGTAGAAAGTTATGTTTTTTTGTTGCCTTTTGTATTGTGGATTTTAACTTTAGAGATTTCAAATCTCTAAAATCTATGGATATCAAATCTCTCATAATCAGAGAGATTCTATATATTGATTCATGAGATTTTTTTTCTCCTATCTTTTCTCTTTCTTTTATTTATTTATCATATTAAATATATTTACTAACAAAGTTTTTAATATTTCTCGAACTACTCTAATCTTTTTTATTAAGGGTAAACATGTTATTTAATATAAAAATTTTATTTTTATTTTCATTGAATGTTAACAATCACAGTTACCAAACAATAAACATTTTAAAACCTATTTTCAACAATTCGAAGAGTTAGAATCTTTAGATTGTTGACAATCTATAGATTTAAACTTAAATTCTCCAAACGACCCCTTTATTTTCTTCTTTCTCTCTTCCTTCTCTCTTCCTTTTTCCAATCTCTTTTCAGATCCTTTCTCTATTCCTTCTCTCTTACTTTTTCTCTCACAATCTCCTTTTCAAATCTAGATCTGCTCTCTTCCATCTTTATTTTTTTCTCTAGCAATCGACTAATAAAAATTGAAGTCACCCTTTTTAATTGCGTTTCTTCTCTTCATCAACTCGTTGGCTTTAATTTCGATCTTTCTCCTTTTTTGGCGTTTGGTGTTCTTTGGTTGTGGATGAAATGAGATGAGACAGAAGACAAGTTTTTTTTCTCTCCCTCCTTTTGTTTTTTCCCCTTTCTTTTAGGTAATATATATTGGTATTACCACACTATACCATATGGTATTGGGTGGTAACGAAATATATATTGATATTACCACACTATACCATATGGTATTGGGTGATAACGAAATCTATATTGGTATTACCACTCTATACCATATGGTATTGGGTGGTAACGAAATATATATTGATATTACCACACTATACCATATGGTATTGGGTAGTAACGAAATATATATTAGTATTACCACTTTATACCATATGGTATTACCACTCTATACCATATGGTATTGGGTGGTAACGAAATATATATTGATACTACCACACTATACCATATGGTAGTAACGAAATATATATTCATGTGGCAAAAATTTTCATACCATATGGTATGCTCTTATTTAATACCAGTCAATACCATATGGTATAGACTGGTAATAACTGACAAATTTTTTTGTGTCCAAAAAATATCAAAGTGGATATCATTTTGAAGAGCACAATTAATCTGATCTAACTGTGCAAAAAAAATTAAATTTCGACTTAAAACGAGTGAGAAATCGTCCGTTAAAAATTAAGGGAAGGAAAATTAAATGTTTTGCGAGGAGAGAGAAGGAGGCGCTGATGTAGTACGGTCAAAAGTCAGCCTCTGCAATAAATAGGAGAAAGTGTAAATTTACTGTACTGTCCTTTTCACATTTAATTTAATTTAAATAAAAAAGTGTCTGACACGTGGGGACCATAGAAGGGGTTACTGATGGGTTACTGACCCATCAGTTACTGACCGGATCTGGACCCCAATTAAAGGTTTATAATCATTTTGTACCAAGTGAATAGTTTTGTAATCATTTATAATAGTTATCCCGATATTTAGACAATATACCATGAGTGTACTTATAGATAATACGCAGAAAAAAAAGGAAGGAAAAAAAAAACTCCACCCCTAGTTACTAAATCCTAGCTCCACCCTCCCTATATTTAGACAATATACCATGATATCAATTTAGTTGGGGAAAAAATCCAACAGTTCTGATTCATTAAGATGCATTCAACACCAATTAGGATATAGGGAGCTAAAGTTCATTCGTTAAGAATTTGCATATAGTACCAAACAAAATTCTATAAGTTGAAGATCTAGAAAGCATACCGACTATACGATTCTTTCATGACAGCAAACATACAGATGAAAAATGCAACCAGAGATGCTAGCCAAAGGCAGAACCGAATAATAAACTGTACAACCACACCCCAAGACTGCAAAAGACCCCTTTCTCCGTTCCAGTCTGAACTATGAGCACACCTCATCTGCTCCCCCAAAAGACAACAAGTACGCATAACATAACAGAAGGTGCAAATTATCGGGGGGATAAAACAGAAGGTGCATCCTCCAACAGTTTACTACAACCACAAGGCCAAAATACAGCAGATACCACTTTGGATTGTGCTTCCGACTGTCGTGGCATCACTTTCAACATTTCACTTAGGATTCTTCTGAGAAAGGGTAATCGTTTTACCCCGGACCTCCATTCATATACTTTGGTCTTCGAGCATCTCTACCACCGGCGCATACTGCATCAGTAGGAAAAAAAACAAATGGCAAAAATTGAACATACCAGAGAGACTAACAGTTAATAGAATAAAGTGGAAACAGAGCCTTAACTACCTCGTCATCTTCCGCAAAGTAGATCCCATCAACTGCACTGCCATGCTGGAACTCCCAACCCAACTCGTTCTCCACCAACTCTTTCAGTTTCCTAGCCTACACAGCACATAATGTAAGAATATCACTTCATTAGATTGTTGCTTTTCTGTAAAATTGTCACCTAGCATCAAATAAATAACAACCACAGAAGGAAAACAAGCTGTCGTCCGTGTGTATGTGTTGATGGGAATTGGGTTGATGGAAATAGAATTACTGGCATCATTGTAGTTTCTTCGAATCGATTCCAAATGTGCCGTTAATGCTGCACATAGCTTCGAGCCTTGGTGAGAGCACTCGTTCATCACAGTCAATAAGCACTTCAACAATCACAGCAGAAAATGCATGACAACAGAACAGACGACTCTTTTGTAGTTTCTGAGCAGAATAAAAAGGCTACTGCAACTCACCCATGTCAAAAGATCCCCATCTACAACAGAAGCTTCTTGTACCAGCGAAAAAAACTCCTGCAGAACAATCCAACAATTAATCAAATTCCTTGTTCTTGCAAAATCATCAAGCATTGCCACTCCTTAGCCTCCGTAAAGGTTTAGGGATTTCCTTGTCAATTCCACTTGATCAGTGAACATAACAAGCAAACAAGAATAGACATGCTTGAATATTCTTCATTCATAAATCTGAATACGTGATCAAATACTACAAGTGCATAAGCGTACCTTAAAAAGCTGATGCAAGAAACTATCAGCACCAAACCATGACTCATCTAACAGTGTTGATACTCCTAAACCTGCAGCATTGGTATCTGCCTTATCTTTCTGCAGTCCATATTTTAGTTGATAGTAGATTACCTTGATGAACTGCAGCAAATCTTGCAGCTTTCAGATATAGGGAACGAGGGTAAAAAAAAGGAAGAATAGGACAGGGCATCAGTTGACAAACACTGAATATTCACACCTTTGTCCAACTTGTTTCATAGACAATTGAATAGGTTCCCAAAGGACCCATTATATTCCTGGAAGAGGCCACACTTCAAAATTCATTTAAACTTGATCAAAAAGAATTTGTTTCTTTAACCTAATACCTTGCTCTTTCAGTTTCAGTTCATAAGCATCCATCTATCTCCCTTTAACAGAAACTGGAATCATCAATCAGGTTCAAACCAGTGACAGTTATCAAGACTATAATCCATCATAGTGCAACTTGCCTCCCAAGTTATGATGTACCAGCAGAATCCTCAAGAGAACAAAGAAGTTAATTACTAATGGTAACTAATTGGGTGACACTAGCATATAGATTGGAGTAGGAGGAATCATGCATATGTCAAGTAAGAGAACAATTGTGCACAAGAGGAATGCAATCATCTACCACATTCATATGAAAAGTCAAGCAGATATTAGAGTCGCTCAAGGGGTATGCACTTTGTGGATTGAAAAATACATGCATAAAACTTATTCCACAAAATTTGAACCAACAAAAGAGGTGATTACACACAACAATCTTTCCTAATATCTCAGATGGGCGCTCACACAGATGGCTTCATTGTTCCAGAACAAAAATGATTAACCATAGACCTGATGCAAATATTCATTTAGTTACTAGAAAACAATTACCTTAGTATATAGTTGACTCCTTGTGTGGAAAGGCTGCAGAAAAACAGAGGTCAGCTTCAATCTTGGAAACAACGAAGGATGACCACATGTAATGGGATGTATAAAATCATGCAAGAAAAGTTCAGCCCATATTGACTTACAGCTTCTATACAACCAAGCAAAAGACAGACCATAGATTTCCACTGCAAAAACCCTTCAAGCGACTGCCCCATCTGCATAATTCACAAAGTTTTTTTTTTCCATAACTTAAAATAGAATGACCAGAATGCATCAGTGAGTAGTTCACTTACCAAAAATGCCACATACGCAAATTGTAGCTCTCCGAGAAGCACATCTTCCCTACCTCCATAATCTTTCATCAAAATGCCTTCAAGTAGTTCTGTCTGGATACGCAATAAGTTCAAAGTACAGTGTTCAAAATGCAGGCTTCATACTAGAAATACAACTGAGAATAGCAAAGCATCTGGACATGAGTAACCACCTTGTCAAGATTTAAAGAAGTAAGCTCATTTGCATTTATTCCTCTGTGTTTGATAGTGCGAGGAATCGATGTATAGTAACATCCTCTCTTCGTTGACTTGTCAGTAGATGTCGAAATGGAGAACTTGCTGTTCATCAATTGCTCATCTAAAGCTTTCTCCACGGATGTCTTAGAGACATTGTGAGCCATTCCTGATTCACTTGTGATCATGATTTCTCCTCCAATAGGTTCTGCGATTAAAATACCCCAACTTGAAGCAACTAGGCAAATATCGAAACAACTGTATCAAAAGATAAGCATGTAGTAGAAAAGAACAAAGCATTCCAGCAAAAGGAAAAGGCAGAACTAAGCAAAGTATTCGATACAGAAGTTTTTAAATGCAGAATAGTACAGCCACCAAGCAGTTAACATCTATACAAACCATTTATACTTAACACATGATGGATGTCTCGTCAAACGTAGTTACTTCTACTGCCTGGACTGCCATGATTACTACAATAGTGCTCATCTTCGGTTTTACATTTTTACTGGATACCATGTGCAGTAGGTGGAGCCAGACGAAGAATAGAAGTCAGATGTTCTACCTTCAATAAATATTAGCAGGAAGCTTGCGTTCGAGGTTCAGGGATAGCTGATACCATTTTATCAGACTAACATTTCCTAAAACTAACCAACTTGATTATTGGACATGCAAATAAATCATTAAACTAACTGCTTAAAACCGCCACAAGCGGGGAGAATGGAACTCGAGTGATGAACTTTGCCAGCCTAGTTTTTCTAACCTGACATTATTGTTCAATACAAACAACTCGTCAATTCTTTCAATATACAAATTCCCTAGAATGAAACATCAGTTGGGAATAATACTTTATCCCATGAGATTTTCCAGGAAACCTCCAAGTTTTAGTAGCTTAGCAATCAAGTGTAGTAGTGAACATATTATTGAAGAAAATACTATGTACCTTCATGCATAATATTGATCATGGAGTGAACCTAGTAATTTCTTGGTCATTATAGATTGTTCCATGTTTCTGTCTATCATCTCATGGGGCATCATTCTCTTCTCTACTATATGTTCCTCTCTAGTACGTCCCTATTAAGTCACAATGATGAAGATCATTTCTAAGTTTAGAAAATAACAAGTCACGGAACTACATACAAAAACAACTATTGAATCAAAAATTGGGAGAGGAGAGGGAGAACGAAAAAAATAGCAATTTAAGTCCAAAATCTGTAAACAGAAAACACTTATAGATCCAGTACCTATTCGCTCAATAATGCTCCTCGTGATATAGTTGGACAGTCTCTTCCATTCTCCATTATGGCTTAGATTGTAAGGACCAAGGTTACCATCAAACTCCAAACGCTTAACTGCTCCGGCAAATCTCTCTGCCTTTGTGGATAAAAGATGGGAAAAGGGCGGAAAACAGGAAAAAAGAAAGTCAATTTCACTGCAAATTTGCAAATAAATGGAACGAATCATAAATGGCCAAGAACATAGTGCTTTTGAATGAGAGATATTTGCAAGGTCCAACTGATACAATTAGGAGAAACCTATGAAGCTATGGATACTGATGGCACCTATTCCATGAGAGAACAATTTTCACCACACTTTTCAACTACCACAAGATCAAGCATCATCTCAAGTGAAAGGATTCCCAGCAAGTTACTTCTTATAATCCACTGATTCACACAAGGTCGACTTTCAATATAAAAAAAACTGATGATAGCTCTGACCTAGATGATAAAAATGCCCCTTTTAATTAATACTAATGCCCGCTCATGCCTCAACTCAAAGAAATGCATTGCCGTAACTATTTACAGTAGCAGATATTTAGAGTCCAGCATTGACATAACAAGGAAGCCCACCAAGAATATTCAACACAAAAAAAGAAGTCAAACAGGGCATGTCAAAGAAAACTATATTGAGGAATACATGAAATTGCATGCTGTATTTTTCAATGGACTTGAGGGAACATGCTTCACAAGTCGGGACTTTCCAGTTAAGGCAAGTACAGATACAAAAGTCTCATATTTACCTGCAAGTGCTTTCGTATTAACTTCAATATTTTTACATTTATTCTTTTGTAGTTCAGAAATATTGTCCTAACTGCCTAGGAGCTAAGATGCAAATTCACCAGGTAAAGCAACTTAAATCATCAAAAGTAGCAGTGGTGCTTATTTATCTTTTATGGACAGGTCTACTTCTTGATACTAAATGCTAATACAACATTCACATTATGACACAAAACCTCAGAATTGCAATCCCTTCACCTATTCAAGGCTTCAAAAACTTATCACAGGCACAATAAGCTCAAAAGTTGCATCGAATACGAACCTCTTCCTCAGAAATTTTACCTAGGCGTTCCTCTTGTAGATCCCACCTCCTAACAATTACCTGATTCATAAAAATAACAACAAAAATTGGAAAGACTGGTCCCATGAATCTATATTAAAATTACAACATTAAGCTTCATGAGTTGCCAGACTGTGGGTAGATCTGAACTAATAGCATTATTTGTCTGGAGTGTAAAGCTTCGAGTAATGGTTTCATAAGCGCTATGTTGTTACAACATTTGACAATGACAATATTTCCAGACTACGAACTGTTGAAAGGCACTGTTCATCCAACATCAAAATTGGACAAAGAGCATTTAAATTTTCCTTATGAAATTAGTCAAAAGTAACAGGATGATCTGAATTTGATAATACAGATGAAAGCTTGCCGAACTTATACTTCATAACTCATGAATGACACTGCCTTGATGGCATGTAAAGATGCTGTTTTTTCTCAAGCAAATTTGGTGTCCTCCCATAACAACTAGAATGATGGCCCAATACTAGAGTCATTGAGCATCAGCATTCCCGTTCAAGTATACTCTTACGGTTGAAAACTGAATAAAAAGCGACTAAGCAAGGTCCAAGTTACAGAGTGCTATTCTGACCTATAATATGCCTTGAGCATTCCTATCTCAATGCCGATAGCTTAGTTACAAGTAATCATAGGAGTATTACCAAGAGACTTGCACATATAACCAAAATCAGACAAAACCTTACAGATGACTTTATACAGCCACCATAAGGAAGATACTAGGAGCAAATAAATAAATAAATAAATAAAATAAGATATTGATTGCATACCTCTGAGGGGCCAACATCAATAAAGGAACCAACTACAGGTGAAAATTCCTTGCCATCCCTGGATTTATAGATAGACAAATTCGCACATGATAAGAAACATCACTACACATAAAGCATTGGTCTACCAAGCTGACGACAAGGACAGCGTTTCATATGTTACTGTTCCCTCAAAGTTCAAATAGGCTGGGTTTGACGCTTTGGCCACCCCTACCACTAGGTTAACCCCTTGTGTCCGTGACTCTTAGGGAAGTGGGAGATAATCTATTAAGATTTTTGAGCAGTATAGATCAAGCTGCTCAAGGCCTAAACCACAGTGGTTGGAGGCGATATTAGTATCTGCAATGCAAAAGTAACCGTACATGTAGCTGACCTCCATGCATCAATCGTAGATTTAGGTGTTTATGATATTCTAGACTTATATTATAAAGCATGCCATTGGATCTGACAGGCAGACACTGAGACACAGCGTGAATGCAAAAATAAGAGACTATATAACTCAATGGCAAGCCGTCTCGTGTTTTGACATGAAGGCTAGTCCAAGAGTTATGAGATGACATTAGTGAGATCGTGGAGCTCCTTCTAATGACTTAAGAAATCGGGCTAATAGCAAGATGCATAAAACTCTTTCGATGACCAAAGTATCTGTTGAATAATTCATCATGTTTCCAAGTGGAATTCATACAGAAAGGGAGTGCATAAGCCTATGGAAACGGTTCTTTGAACGTTTATTGTTAATCGACACCATAGATTACAATGATTAAGAACCCTATGGAATCTGAAATTATACTTGTTCACAGTGCATAAGCCATTAGTTATATCAACGGAGCCTAATTAGGAACAAGGCAAAAGCATTCAAACGGTTAAATAAGAAAGGAGACCTAACCTGCTGGAGGAGCTGTAGTATAAAAAATGAATGCCCGGTGGAATCATCTTAATCCCTTTGAACGCAGGACCAATAGAGAATATCTGCAATGCCAAGTTGTAACAGCCGATGAGAATCATGGCGGCACAAACGGATTTAGTGAGTACAGCACACGGAAGAAAGAAGAAAAGAAGGATCGCAAGCAGAGAATCCTGTACGCTCTGTCAATCAAATAAGCTTTTGAGCGTAACAGCTCACGGAGAAGGCCGTGGAAGCAAACAGAAGAAGAAACCTCAACTCAGTTACCTGAGTGTCGACGCCGACGAGAGTGTACTGAGGAACATCGAGGAGGAGAAGCGTCGCTCCATGCTTCACAAGCTCCAAAGCTGTGACGGGGTCCATTCGCGATTATGTATCGCCGGAAAGGATTAAATGGGCAGAACCGGAGAGCTCCGGGGGCCGCACACACTTTTGTTCGTGTAGTCTCTCTTTTTTCGTCTGGAACTACGAATAGCTACGGATTAACTCAAAGCACCCAACTTATCGGTGAAGCAACTTGAAGCACCCAGAACTTTATGCATGTTTGGGAGAGCGGATCCAGTGACTAGGGGGTGCTTAGTCACTTGACTAAGCCCCTCCCAGCCCTTGGATCTGGACACTTCAATCCAATGGTTAAAAAGTAGGAAGGGCTATTTAATTAATGACAGGGGTAGTTTGGGTATTATGGAAAATTACGAAGTATACAAACCGAATTTACAATTCGTACAAACCATACAAACATACGAACAGTACAAACTAGAGCGACAAAACATACAAACAGATTTACAAACATTACAAACGTATGAACTGTACAAACAATACAAACTAGACCGACAAACAATACAAACCATACAAAAAGAAAAAACAACAGGGTTGACTTTCGAGGCTTCATCCCTATATAGAAGGGCTCCTTCCCAAAGTCAACCCGGGTGTTTTTTAGACATACAAAACAGTACGAACATGGTGGACAAAAATGACAAACTAGACCGACAATCCATACGAACGGAAAAAAACACCCGGGTTGACTTTGGAGGCTTCATCCCTATATAGAGGGGCTCCTTCCCAAAGTCAACCCGGGTGTTTTTTAGACATAAAAAACATTACGAACATGGTGCACAAAAATGACAAAGTTTACAAACATGGTGCACAAAAATAACAAAGGTTACATACATTACCAAAAAAAAACGACAAACATTACAAAATAACAAAGCATACAAACATTACAAAATATGTCAACAAACATCACAAAATTAGCACGGTCGCCGGGAAATTCTTCTCCGGCGACGATGTTCGCCGGAAAAATTTTTCCGACCAGAAAATCTCTCTCTCGTACAGGAGCTTTGGAGGGAGAATTCACTACCCCTACAATAAAAGGACCGCAGGACCGCCGGGAGCCAGGAGAGGAAGGCGCGCTCCTGGTCGCTGGTTCTTTGGCCGGCGGGAAAAGGTGGCCGGAGATCGACGGCGAAGTTGCAGAGGGGTCACCGGAAATCTCTATCTCTGCCGCAACCAAAATCCAAAATGGGGGAGATTCTCTCTGGTGGCTGGGCAACCAAAATGGGGAGATAAAATCCAATTATTGCCGCCGTATTTAATGGGGATGGAACTCTCCCTGGCTGCCGTATTTGTCGGCAGAAAAAGAAGCCCGCCGGCGTTCAGATCGTCTGGTCGGGGAAGGGAACGCGCAGCAGGTTAATTATTTTAAAATTATTTAATAATTAAAAAAATATAAAAACTCTACAATTACCACATTACCCTTCATTAAATTGGATTAATGTGAACCATTAGATTTAAATGAAGCTCAAAGGTTGAGATTGGCTTAGCCATGTGACTAAGGGGACCCCCCTTAGTCACCTGATCTTAGCCCCATGTTTGGCTCGGGTTTAGGCATGACAACAAAACCCGTATACCCTACATTCGGTCAATGCGGGTAAAATTTGTTTTGACGGGTTTTGAGCCGGATTCGGATTTAAATCCGTTCACTATTCTTTGAATTGGGTTGGGTTTGGGTTTAGGTATACCCGCCTCATGGGTACCCGCTCACACCCGTATAATTAATTTTCTCGGTATATTTAATACTTTAAGCAACTAATCTTCTTTATGTTTGTGAAGACATGTCTAATTTTTTCTTTCTAATTGCGGAAAATGAAGTTGATATTATCGAGTGGAAAGTGAAGAAGTTTAATTGACAAGGAGGAAGAAGTTTTCTATTAATCATGTTGTTTATGGATAATTTGTGATTTGCTTCAATTTTCTTGAGTTTTCTATATTGGTGTTGAAAAATTTGTATGATTAATTTGTGATTTGCTTGAATTTTCTAGAATGGTGTTTTATATATGGATATTTTGTATTGACATAATGATATTTGACTTTTATTTTGATAGGAACTTGTTATTGTAAATTTTTTACGACAAAAACCAATGGGTACCCATGAACCCGCGGATACCAGTGGGTTGGGTTGGGTTTGAGTTTTCCATTGATTTTACCACGGGTTTTTTTTCACGTATAAACCCATGGGTTTGGGTTTGGCAAAACTCGATCCAACCCAACCCATTGCCATCCTGGGGCGGGTTTTAGAAATGCTTTTCTACGTCAAAAGTTGAAGCATAAGTGATCCACCTTTACTGCTCCAACAATTAGGAACTTTCTCTTTTAGTATTGTTCTCATGATGAACTTGTTGCCTCTCACCATTTGTGATGGTTCTATTTGGAAATTTCTATCACAATGATCAATACCGACGGTCACGGTCTTTCCCATAAGAGAATCTCTTGTAATAACCCTCTCAATCAATTTTCTTCTTCTTTGATTCCATAGTTGATTGAGCCAGATCATTTACTTCTTTGACTTCCCAGACACAACTCTTCCGATGATGTTTAAAACATACTCACTGGTTGTCTTGGAGTTCTCATATAGGATAACTGCAAAGATTCTAACTTCTAAGTCTTACTAGACTCCAAAGATTCCATTTCGTTATTAATGGATTCTCCCACAAATCTGCTTCTTTATGAAAGTTCGAACTTCTAGTATACTTGTAGAAACATTCTTAGAGTGTAAATAACAAATTCATAACCAAAATCCTTTAGTGATTTATGATTCATTTGTCTCTTCTGAGTTCATACTAAGATTCATCACCCCCACTAGTTCCATTATTTCTAACAGCAGGAATGATATCACCCCACTATTTCTTTAAATTATAATTGAAATCTTTTGACATTAGTGAATTCCACAACATATTGAATATTCAAATCATATGAACTATATGTTTTTATTGTTGACGACATAAAACACACTCTATCATGACTGTTTCTCTGCGGATCGGGAAGCTGGAGGATTCGACAAAGCAAGAATATGAAAGCAAGAAAGGAAACGATACACATATTTACGTGGTTCACTAACACAATGTGTGTTAGCTAGTCCACGGGCAGGAGAGAGCCAGTTTCACCATACTTTGAGGAGATATAGATTACAAGGGAGTATGAGAAGTATTTATAGTACTTCTCCATGGTCTACCCCTAATCTAATCCGGTAAAGGAAAAGCGGTTACAATAAGGCCGAGAACACGAACCCAAACAACATTGCCCCTTGACTCCACTCTTTGATCGGGCAGCGAGACCCCCGTGACTTCTACTTGTAGCGGCCGATAGTCCAATTCAAGTCACATCAAACACACTCATATGCTCTTCTAATTATCATACTACATTGTTTCGTTGACTCTACCACAAACATGCAACATATTGAATAATCAGTGCAATCATTACATGATAAAGCATTTCAAGTCATTTCAAATTGACATCTCATCACCCATTTTAAAATGAATTAGATCTAAAGATTATGATTCTCTAATCCTATTTTTATGGGTCATTTAGGTTGGATACAAAATTCACCTTTATTTAAGCGTTCAAGAATAATATGGGAATGTGACCTTAAATATTATAATTCTACATGCCACACAGAAGAATACATCTTATTTACTTAATCATCCCTTACGGCTAGCATAGTCAACGAATTTCTAGATGTAGGGTTCACCTCCATTTTCCCATAGCCATCAACAATAGTGGAGAGGGCAGTGCCCAACAACAATTTTTTTGTCAATACGCATCAATGTATGATTGAGCTTAGCTCGTTAATCACACACTTGCCTTGAGGCGCCATTATCCAACAACCATTCTTCACATATATCATAAAGGCCAATTAACCTATGTCATCACCTTAGTTATTATTACTACCATATCATCTTCTTTAATCAAGTTAACGCAAGGTTATACTTGTTCTTACACTTTCTTGCCATATGGCCTAATTTCTCGCAATCTTAACAGAGAAACATAGCGTCATTCTTAGAGGTGGCGACCTTTGGTTACCACGAAGGGTTCCATTCGAATTGTTGTAGATATGGTTTGGCTTGATGCTCTCATTCTTGAAACTTCAATGTTTCAGAGCAGCATTAGTGGTTCATGTAGTAATGACACCTACACTTCTTTTGTTTCACTATGGGCAATTAACCCACTCGATTCCCATATATTGTTCATATGCACCTAATTATACAAAATTACTAAATTTCATATAATACAATCATGCATCAGTTCTACTTTTACTTTCACTCATTCGTATGGTTTCTCAATCACATGCATAAAGTCATGTGTAATAGATTCTAATTTGTCATTCATTAATTACTCGCAAGAAAGGGTTTAGTGCTTACCTCTTTTCCAGAAGTCGAATCCTTCTGACTTTGTAGCGAATAGCTTGCGCCATGAAAACTTCCTTGTTGCTTTTCATCTCTTTTGTCATGAGGGCATAGGTGGAGGCAAGGGCATTACCCTTTGTCAGTTTTCACGGGACAGGGCAAAGTTTGGAGTGAAAAAAATATCCATATATATTTATATTGATGATGGAACAAATAATTAAAGGTGGTATTAGAGTATTTTATCAGTACAACGCAACTTATTAGTTGTTCATAAATTGACGTAAAATTAATTTATTATACTATAAACGAACTTTTAATTACAATAAAGACCTAATAAGATAAGAACCGATTGAGCAAACTAGGGAAAATAAAATATTTTTTTATTGACAATCCTTAGATCTGAATTTTCTGGACCCACTTAGATGTAAAGGTCCAGATTTAGTTACTCATAGGTCAGTAACCATTGGTTACTGTTGGTTACTGACCCTATCCTAAGCCCCCCCCCCCCCCCCCCCGTTATACGTCCCGTATGGGTAATAGGTACCCGTTAATTCATACGGGTTTGGGATATGGAATAGAGTTTGCGCTTCAAATATGATTGAGTACCCGTTTCAAACGGGACGTGTACCCAGTCCCTTCCCGTTGCCCACCCTTAAATCTACAACAGTTAACTAACTAATTGAAAACAACAAATAGAAACGTGCCAAGTGTCCACAAGGACAAGATAGTGTTATTTGCTGCAAATAATAGGGTTGGTGATTTTTAGCAATGTTGTCAGAATCGAGCCGGAGCATGACCCGGTAATGTGAACGGCTCGCACTTTAGTGGTCCAACTGGTATTTGGCCGTTTACAAACCGTTAGAGAACCGATACATTAAAAACTATAATATAATAAGTACAACTGTACAAGACATATAAAGTAATAACTTAACAATTCAATGACTAAAATAAAATTTATTTTGCAGGTACCACTTAGTAATTTTACAATACATATATATTTAACAACTAAGGAATCCCCACCCCTCCCAACCCTAGCAGCGCCCTCATCCCCCCCCCCCCCCCCCCTCTCTCTGATTTCCTTCTCATTCATTTTCCTGTTCTGTCTTTCATTATGTGCCTCTTCCTTCTACCAGTGTCCCTAACGAAGAAGATGGATTCACTTCTCAGTAACTTCTTCTGGTCAGGGTCAATGCAGAAGAGCAGTCTACACTGGTGTAGTAAGGAAATTCTGTGTACCCCTAAGTCAGAAGGAGGTATAGGGTTTCGAAGCTTTAGAGACTTTAATTTGGCCCTTCTGGCAAAGCAAGCTTGGCGGCTTCTGACCAAACCTGATGCTCTTTGGAGTCGACTTCTCAAAGGACTCTACTTCCCAAGAGGAAACTTCCTCTCGGCAAAAAAAGGAAGCAAACCGTCTTGGATATGGGCTAGCCTCTGGGATTCCAAGAAAGTCATCGATCTGGGAGCGGTGAGAGTGATTGGGTCAGGAGATGAGTCATGGATTGATCAAGATCCATGGGTTCCCTCCCTTCCTAAGGCGAGCATTCATAGTGGACCTCAAAACCATATTCAAGTCAATTCATGGACCGATCAAGAGGGGAGGAAGTGGAATAATGATATGATCCGACGGCAGGTGTCTACTTCTGAGATGGACACTATTTTGAGAATTCCCATTGGGGAGATGGATTCTAAGGATTTCTGGGCTTGGAAATTGAATGAGAATGGAAACTGCACCGTCAAAACGGCATACCATGCGGTGCACCTATATTCAACGGAACCCCAGACGATGGGCAATGTGGAAAAATGGAAATGGATGTGGAACCTTGATATCCCTCCAAAGCTTAAGTTCTTCGTTTGGAGGTGCTCTAAGAACGGTCTTGCTACAAAAGAGAAACTCTTTAAGAGGAAATGCTCTCCTAACTCAACATGTCAAGTGTGCCAATGCCCCATTGAGTCCCTCCTTCACTGCCTGTTCTTGTGTGACCACGCAAGAGAATCTTGAAATGCTATCTTCCCTCCTTTGTTCCACCCCGTTCGAAGCCGAAACAAAAGCTCTCTTGGAAGGTCTCAAATTAGCTCAAGAATATGGCACTGAATGTGTTGTCCAGTCTGACTGCCAGACGTTAGTTAAAGCTCTTCAACAAGACCCTCGATATTGGCCATGGCGAGGAGCAGCAGGGATTGGATCAATGGTTTCAATCCTGAGAGCAAACCCTCAAATCAAGGTCAACGCGGTGTCGCGTATTTGTAATGTCAGAGCAGATTGGGTTGCGCGATCTCTTGCTAGATCTTCTCTCCCAATTAACTGGATTAGTGTTCTTGATCTAATTTCTGATTTCCTTTGAGATTTGTAACCGTTTTCTTCGTATTGGTGTTGGAATAAAAGTTTATTCTTACTGTAAAAAAAAATTCCTGTTCTGTTTCGTGCAACACTGCAACTTGAAGGAAAAGGGGCAAGGCAGAGAGGTCGGCACCGGCTGGAAGGAGAGTCAGCAATTACAAAGAGTTGGGTCATCTCGTCGCTGGGTCGTCGTCGTCACAGGGCAGAGAGTAGGGGTGGCCATTTGGACCGGGACCGGATAAAAAACCGGAAACCGGATCGCATAAACCGGACCGTTTAAGACCGGGACCGGATGTAAAACAATCCAATCCCGCCTTTGGTCTTAGAATTAGCAAAATAACCGGACCAATCCAGTCCGGGTCAAAACCGTGTAAAAACCGGAAGACCGGATTAATAAAAAACAGACCAGACCCAAAAGACAAAGCCCATATGGGCCAAGACAAGCCCACTCTCACTAGTCACTACCCACAGCGGCCCAAGCCGGCCCAGTCCAATGTCCATCTAGGGTTGCCCAGACGCCTCACGCCAGTCGCCCTCTGACCCTCTCCTCCATCGTTCACACTCGGCAGTCGGACTCGGCAGTGCCCTTCGCCTTCTCCCATCCCAACTTCGCAGTTCGCACAGCAGCCGCCGCCGACCCAAACCCTAAATCGACCGCAGCGGCCGCCGGCCAGCGAGTGCTCCTCTGCGACCGCGAGACCGCGACCAGCCCACCACCTCCGCTCCTAATCTCCTCCGCGCGAAGCAACGACTGTCGCGCCTGCCTCATCCGCTCCGATTCTCCTCCGATTCTCCTCCGCGCGACTGTCGCTCCGATTCTCCTCCGCGCGAAGCAACGACTGTGCCTCCACTCCAAGCCTCCGACCCAGCGAGGCAGTGCTCTCAACCAGCCGTCCAAAAGCCTCCGACCCTCCGTCCAATCTCGTCGCCCTCCGTCGATTATTGGGGAACAGCCGCCCAACTCATAAAAATGGAGGGGAGCACTTAGCAGCAGTGGGTAAATAGTTTTACTTTATTAATGAGTAATTCTTGCTCGAACTCTGTTTTCTTTCTTTCTTTTCCTCTGTTTTCGACTCTGACTTCACTCCTCTGTTTTCTGGGGGGAAAACAAAAAGGTGATGAAAAGAAGACAGCCCATCTAGTTGGGCTCGATGGAGCTAAGGAAAGGCTGCAACTTTTCCAAGCGGAGCTGCTGGAAGAAGGGTTTTTCGACTCTGCTATTGAAGGATGCTCTGGAGTTTTCCACACTGCTTCCCCTGTTTCCTTCTCGGCCGTTGATCCCCAGACAGAGATAATTGATCCGGCGGTGAAAGGAACCCTCAATGTTCTGAAATCATGCGCAAAATCTCCTTAGAAATGGTTTGGTGAACTTGTTAGATTGGAGTGAATTTGGTGTTTGATGTCTAAACTTTAGATGTGAACTTGTGATGCACTTTATTTTTAGGCAAAATTCACTTTCATAGCCATAACTTTGCACTTTGTGACAAATATAGCCAGATTCTGAGAAATACACAAATATAGCCACATTTTGTAAACTTGCTTGACTAATATAGCCATTTCCGTTAAATAATTTGACGGCGTCAATAATTCCGTTAGTTAAAAGGATGTCATTCTGATGTGGCTGCCATGTCACGGCCACGTCATGCCCACATAGACCCCTCACTGCCACATAATCGCCACATCACATTTTCAAATAAAAAAACATAAAAATTTCAAATGGAGATTTTTAATATCCATTCTTTCCGCTTCTTATCATAATTACATGAAAAAAAAAAACGAAAAAAAAGGATATGCAAATCCCTCCTCGCCACTGCCGTAACATTCTCCCCAAACCCAGATCCATGGTGGAGAGAAACAGAGACGCTCACTCAAATCACTAAATCGCTGCCCTAGCCTGTAACATTCTCCCCAAATCCCTCCTGTAAATCACAAAATCGCTTCCCTCGCCTGTCTTTCCGGCCGCCACACTTCTCATTCTGCCACTCAAATTTGAAGACTCATCCACCGTCTTCACTGGCGCAACATCTCTCCTTCGCTATCACGATCAGCTGCGAGAGAGAGAGAGAGAGAGAGAGAGCGAGAGAGAGAGAAGACGATGAGGTGGAGTTAACCTTGGCGCACAATCCCCACACAATCGACAACCCTAAAATTGGATTTTTAGGAGCTATCCCTCTCGATCGACGAACTCTGCATAATCTCCTCACAATCGACGAACCCTAACACTAGCTCCCTGCACAAGCGCCGTCGTCTCCCTCCACACAACTCTGTTGCTGCTCTGTCTTCTAAAATCTTTCAAAAGGGGCTGCTCTGTCTTCAACTTTCCAGATCTCGCGAATTCAGAGCTCAGAGCTCTGCCCTTTCAATGGCGATTCCCAGAAAGAGCTCTGCCCTTTCAATCGGAGGAGCAATCCGCTCGTTCTCTCCCTCATCAGATCCCAGTTGATAAAGTGGGTTAGCAAAGATGAGGTTCGTTCTCCCCCTTGCTCGATGCTGCCTTCTTCCTCTACTTCTCTGCTTCAACGACGACGGCGGTGAATTTGGTGACTGAGAATCATCTGGATCTGAAGGTTAGTTTCTGTGGTGGGGCTTGAGGGAGGAGTGTGAGGAGGCGGAGGACGGCTTTGGCGGCGGCGACAAATACGGCGGAGGAGGAGAGGAAGCTTTTGGAGATCGAGATTTTTGGCAGATTGAAGTTTTGTGTGGTGGTAGATGAAAGGGGTTTGGGGGAGTTGGAGGAAAGATGAAGAAGGGGCGGAGAGATGAATTTTTTTTCTTTTTTTTCATCTTTTTATTTAGCATAATAAATATAAATAATTTCATTTTCCACCATGGCATGCCACATAGTCCAAATTAAACGCGGTCAAATATGACGGTTTGTCCAGTCAGCAATCGTTATATTTCCGTTACATTAATGGACGGAATGGCTATATTTGTGTATTTCTCAGAATCTGGCTATATTTGTCACAAAGTGCAAAGTTATGGCTATGGAAGTGAATTTTGCCTTATTTTTATTTTGAAGTTTGAATTGGACTTTGAGTTTGTAATAGACCTCAATGATGTTTGTGATTTTGTATTGGACCATGTTTGTCTTGATTTTTGCTACAAACAGGTTGTCTACATTTCAAGAAAATAGGTATATGCTGCTAAATTTTCTGCAACATGGTCAAAACAGGTCAAAACCGGATTGAGACCGGACCGGGTCAAAACCGGACCGGGTCAAAATTGGACCGTACCCAATCCAAGCTTTGGTCTCTATATATCCAAAAAGACCGGACTGGACCGGATCAATTCGGGCCAATTTAACCGGACCGGACCGTATAGCCACCGCGAGTAGATTGTTTGGTGCTCGTCGTCGCTTGGTTTGCCGGCAGGAGAGCTCGACAAATCGACGAGTTGTGCATCCAAATCAGCAACGGGGGGCGAAAAGGCCGAGGTCACCTCTGGGTTCTGTCGACGGGGACTGAGCTCGAGGACTGGCGATGGGTGCTGGCGACGGAAGCGACGCTCCTTTTGTCTACACGAGAGGCGAAGAAAAGAATGAACTGAAGAATCTGAATTAGGGTTGTTTGACAGCCCGACATTTTCCTCTTTCCTTCCCGTTTTCATTTTTTTTTTATTAAAAACCAACCGGCCGAAATGGAAAGTTGGGTGTTCGACTCGAGCGGCCCGGGCGGTTAACCGGCCCGACCAGCCGGCTCGGCTTTGATAACACTGATTTTTAGTCAAATTGAATTGCGGGCGAGTTGCAAGTAAAGTTAATCGACCGGGTTACTCAGATCGGATTATATTTTGACAAGGTACTAGCAAAGAGCAAATGACAAACTTCCGAGTTCCGAGGCACCAAACCACCAACAAACAAGTCACAAAATCTTATTCCATAAACTCTACTTCAAAGATTACATAATCGGATAGAATTTTGTATTATTAATGCTCAGAGGTCCGTAATTAAATCTTTAGCGATACCCCCTTTGTCTTTGCTTACAAACCTCCCCGCCTCCAACCCTTTGATTTGGAGTGCCTGCAAATCTCAAACTGTACATTAATCCCCCAAGAAACGCCAAAGCTGGGATGTTCACAATGGAAGAATCAGACTCTGGCTTCTATTAATCCTCGTCAAGAAGAATCGCCCGCCGCATGAATTCGACCGCTTCATCGAAACTGGGCTCTTCCGGAGATACTGCGCAATGGAAGACGAACACGATGGCTGCCTGAAAGATCCCGAATCGCTGCTCGTCCCCGAACCAACCGATTCGGTCGGTTCGTCGCAAACTGCGAGATTCGCCGCCAAAAAATCCATCGAGGACGACTTCCTCAATTTCTTCACTCTCTTCCTGGAATCCCCAAAGTATCCCTCAAACCCCCCTGTGCTGATATCGGCCTCTCCGTCGTCGTTTTCCGCCGCTGCTGCTCCGACCCGTACGCTATCCCCACCCACGTCAGCATCGGCCTCCGCGCGGGCGGCAGTAGTAGGACCCGGCTCCGGGTCCGAATTATCCCGACCCGACTCCAGGTCCGCGACGATGTGGGCCCGGCAAAGCGGGCAGTTGGTGTGGGACCGGAGCCACGTGTCGATGCAGGAAAGGTGGAAAGCGTGGCTGCATTTGGGCAGCAGCCGGAGGGTGTCTCCGTCCTGAAACTCGCTCAAGCAAACAGAGCACTCTGTTCCTTCGATCAGCCTTTCCCCCTTGTCGAATTTGCAGACGGCGATCGAATCGATCAGCGACTGAGGCAATCCGACGGTGGAAATGTACCAAATCGGGTGGTGGACTTGGTTCCGACCGAGCAATACGTCCGGCTGCTCGTCGACGTTGGCATTGGGATCGTTCTCCCCTCCTCCTCCTCCTCCTGATTCGCCCTCTTCTCCACGGAGCTGCCGCCGGAACCCCCGCCGCTCCAAGAAGGACTTGCCGAAGATTACGTAGTAGCTGACGAGCAGGAAGACGGCGGCTAAGATGGAGACGATGACGATGACGAGAGGGGAAATTCCCTGGTCGGCCGGCGGCGGCGGAGGAAGGGCGTAGACGTCGTCGGGAAGTGGGTAGCAGTTGAGAGGGCAGGCGGGATCGCAGAATCCGGAGCAGTTTAGAGAGGTGGTGTTGGAGGTTTGGGAAGGGAAGAGCTTTCTGTGTCTCATGGCGGCGAATTGGATCTGAGGATCGCGGGGAAGAGGGGAGATAGGAAGGAGGGAGTAGAAGATGGCGTGTGCGTGGGTTTGGGGTTGGAGGGAGAAAGTGATTGGTAATCCATCGTCTTTTTCTAGATTGGAGTCCACAGTGGTTCGAGTTTGCCAAACTTTGCTTAGTTTAGTTCTCTCTTTTTTCTTTGGCTTAAACTGACTCTGTCTTTTACGCTACTCTATTTTTGTTTTCAAAGTAGCAAAAGGAAATGAAACGAAAACTCTCCTTTCCATTGACGGATAAATCTTGGCTTTTCTTCCATTCATATTCTCTTTCCAAGGGATGAGATAGCATGCCTACCCATAAAAGGTTGGCAAAATGACAACCCCTATTAATTATAGGTTTTTAAGGTAATTAATTTGTGTTGCATTTAATAATCTGTATGAATTAAAAACACATATTAATTACTTTCCTTTTTCAGTGCACTGGTAGTTGTATCAGTGCACTGGTAGTTGTGTACAGGTGCAATGGTAGATGTATCACTGCACTGCAATGGTAGTTCCAAAAAAGGAACGTAATTAATATGAGTTCAGTATATCAGTGCACTGATACAACTACCAGTGCACTGAAAAAGGAAAGTAATTAATATGTGTTTTTAATTCATACAGATTATTAAATGCAACACAAATTAATTACCTTAAAAACTTATAATTAATAGGGGTTGTCATTTTGCCAACCCATACAAGGGTTAGCATGCTAACCGATCCCTCTTTCCAATTAAAAAAAAAATATTGCCATTCAAGTTTTGGCAAGCAATTGCACAAATGCATAATTACCTTTCATTTTTCTTTTTTCTTATAAAATGGAGGTTGAAAATGGTTATAAACCAATTTATCTCAATAACTTGAGTTTTGAGATAAGGTTATTATGGATCTTATACCACTCTCTTAAAGAAACCGTCAGAGAATACAATTGGCAAGACAGTCTAAAGCCTAAGGCGGCTAGCTCTCAAACGAGCAGTACCAGACCAACATACACAGATGAACAAAAAGGGATCTCCAAAAGACCACAGAGAAAACAAATTCCACCGCCTTCAAAATGTCCCTTGGATTACTAGCGTGCTGGAGAGTCATCCATAATGGCCATTGATTTTAGCATAGCTCCGTTAGTAGAGCTTCATTCCTACGCTTTGTAGGAAGTAGCGACTTTTTGTTGAGATTCCGCAAAGATATTTTTTCAATAACTTGTATTGAGATTGGGAATGTGGGGTCATTGACTCTTTGTTGCAGTTCCTGCTTCAATTCTCTTTATGCCATGTGATTTACTTGAATTGATTTCCTGACAGATTTGAGAATGAGCCCTTTCTTCTTGTCTTGGGCAGAGAATTAGTCGATCGATTCTTTCCAGAAGTGTCGCCGGATTTAGGATGGATTCCCATTTGGATTCACATTCTCTTCCGCACATAACTCAAGGACAGGGACAGTCACTATTTGGATCTTGGTGTTGTTGAACCCAAAGTTGATTGATTGAGATGTCTTTTCATTGTCTCCAATTTGATTATGAAGGTTTGTTAGGGGCTTCTCCTAAGACTGGGTTTCATTGTCTTTAGTGTTTCCGATTGGGTGTTAGATATGGTTTGCAGGGGTTTTCAATTTAGCCTTAGGGTTTCCGTTAAAACCCTCGCCTTTCCTTTATGTGCCGCTGAGGATCCCTTGATATGAATCGAGACTCTAACTCTTGGATTCAACGGTTATCAAAGTCAGCAGCCAACTTGATCATCAAGATATCTCCCACGAATTTCAACCGAGGTGTCACACAGCCACTAAATCGGCTCGACATAGTCAATAAGCTGAAGCGGTTGGGGAGCGGCCGAGATGGTTAACCGCTCGATCCGCTCAACTCGCGCTCCCAGTTTTTGCTTTCTGGCCGCCAGTGACATAAAAATGAGAATAAAAAAAAAGTGATGGGAGGCGAGGAGACTGACGAGGCTTAGATCTGAGGGCGGCGGTGGATGGGGTGGAGGAAGGGGATATTAATGATGGTGAAGCAGACGCGGCATAAGGCGAAGGTGGTGGCGACGGGCGAGGCAGAGATTTTGTGCCGCTTCCCGTCGGAGATTCTCCAAAGGATGGCGGTTAATCTGGGTGTGGTGGCACCGGGGGGTTAGCAGTAGAAAAAAAAAATGAAGAGGAGATCGAGAGTTTGAGAAAGAGGGGATGAGATTGGGGGGGGGGGGATTGGAGAAAAATGTGTGCGGCGCTGGTGGGAGTGGACTTAGGGTTCTTTTAAGTTATTATATATATGGCAAATGCTAGCGTACGTCTCATTGGGTTTTGCTATTTAGACAATGAATTAACCGGAGTTTGGGACATGATACTTAATCATAACCTTTAATGGGTGAATCCCAATCCCCAAATCACTAAACCAAAGCATGAGATTCGTTTAATCTTAAAATGAAAATCAATGATTTTGATTCGTCGAAATTATCATTGATTTTCATTTTAAGATTAGACGAATCTCATGGTTTGTGTTTGAAAATTAGGGACTGGGGGTTAGGGGCATATTATCATGACCCAAATTCCTGTTAAATCATGATCTAAATAGCAAAACTCTATAAAGCGTACGCGGGCGTACGCTAGTATGAATATATATATAATGTGTAATATTTCAAAATGGTATCTGATAAATTATATTTTAGTCATTAAATCGTTAAATTATCATCTTATTTATCTTCTACTTATGATATTATTGATAATATTGTTTTTTTATCGGTACCTGTAGTCAACTTTTATTGATTTGGAATTGTCTTATCATCAAGTTTAAGCTGATCAATCAGATTCAACGGAAACCTATCAAACCAAACATCCGCTATATCCCACAGAGTATTCGTGTGTGCCATGATTTGCGCAGCTTCATTAGCCTTTCGACTAACATATTGTCAAGTCCCACCACCTGTCTCCTCTAATAACTTCCTGATGTTCCTGCAAATCACCCCGAGCTCCGTTTGTATTTCTGAAGAGCGCCTGACACCCGTTACCACGTTTAAACAATCTGATTCCAGGATCACTGGATCGGTTTCGCAATATGATGCTGGCGCGCTAGTTGTAGCCTAAATTCAATTGCAAGTGCCTCCCCCATCGTCGGATCCAGTACCCCTCTGACCTGTTTTGCCGCTGCCGTTATAAAAGCTCCCATGTGGTTACGGACCACCACACCCAGTCCCACACCTTCAACTCCAAACCCTGCGTCAGTGTTGATTTTCAGTCTTCCCTCCTCCGGTCTTGTCCATACTTGACTAACTCTTCCCGTTGCAGACCCCTCAGTGCGAGCTTGGTGCATACGATACTCATCCAAGAAGGCCTCTGCCCACGGGACTATCTCCATCTCGTCCATTTTCACACCATTTAAAAGGTGAACATTCCTCTCCTTCCAGAATATCCATAAGAGAACCACCCAATCTTCTAACACGCTTTCTGGGACAGCTTTTGCTACCTTCCAAAATCATTCCATGCAGTTTGAATCATCCCAGAACTCGAAGCAGTGGGCGACACTCGAGGCCCTCCATAACCTGCTCATCCACGCATTGATAGAACAAATGCACTTGTGTTTCCACTTGGTTACAAAAGGGACACGAATCACCCCTTCTTGGGTGATTATTGATAGAACAAATGCACTTGTGTTTCCACTTTTGCTTCTTCCCGTCACCATTGATATTATTGTTTATAGAATGACGGTTCTTAGACAATTTTTTAACGACTTGATATCGGTTGAACTAATAAAGTGCGAGCTGTTCACGTTATCGGGTCATGTTCTGATTCGGTTATGACAAGGACAAAAAAGAGATGCCAATCGTCGTCGTTTGCGAGGCCTGAAACTGAATAAAAAACATAAAAAGAATAATCAATCCGTAAGCCGAGCACCCGAGCAGCTTAGCTCTCTCTCAGATTGCAAGGGAAGAACGAATCCAAGCGGCGCCAGAGAGCGCACAGAAAAGGAGGAGAAAAATTTGGAAAGAAAGGCCAGTGCTTCGAGGGAACTGGACGTAAGTGGGCAAATGATGATGATGAGCAAGCTTTTGATTCGAAGACGCCTTTTAACTCTGGCTCGCTGCAGTTGTTGAAGAAATGGGTAGTTCCATTTTCCTCTTCGCCGCCGTCTGCACCACAAACATCTCGTCTGCCCAACTCCACCAGCTACCGTTGAGCCGCTGCTTTCACTTGCGATCCGATTCTCTGTCGCTTTCACCATGACCTACTCCTCCTCCTCCTCTCACCATTATAAACCCTCCATCGGATTTGAATTTCTATCCCCATCGCGCATTCGAAATCACGCTTGTTGCCGACGTTCCCATGGACCCCACCGTTCGCCCAGCCGTCGTCATCGACAACGGCACTGGGTATGTCTCAATTTTTCTGCGGTTGCCCATTTTTCATTTAATTGAATCGGGGACAGAGGTGTTCGACGGGGGAATTCGTTTTGTTTTGTTTTGTTTTGTTTTGTTTCTGCAGGTATACTAAGATGGGATTCGCGGGAAATGTTGAGCCTTGTTTCATTCTACCGACAGTAGTTGCAGTGAATGAGTCGTTTCTCGATCAATCTCGGGCTTCCTCCAAGGCGAATTGGCTCGCCCAGCACAGCGCCGGGGTTTTGGCCGATCTGGACTTCTTCATTGGGGATGAAGCAATCACCAAATCGAGGTCTAGTAGCACTTACAATCTTAGCTACCCGATTCAGCATGGGCAAGTCGATAATTGGGATGCCATGGAGAGGTATTGGCAGCAGTCTATATTCAATTACTTGCGGTGTGATCCAGAGGATCATTACTTCCTTTTGACAGAGAGCCCGCTCACGGCACCGGAGAGTAGGGAATATGCCGGTGAGATTATGTTCGAGACGTTTAACGTCCCTGGCCTTTACATTGCCGTCAATTCCGTCCTCGCCTTAGCTGCCGGGTATACAACATCCAAGGTTGGTACTCAAATTTGAATTCTTTACACCTGCCCTGTAATAGTTGTCTGCCTTAAACTATGGTTTCACTGCTCAAACTTATGCTCTGTTCTAGGAGGGTGTAAATAGGACAGATGATTCTTGATGAGTTATCTGTAGGCTATTGAAGTTGTCAAATGGGAATGGCTTAACTAAATCAGACTTATTGCCTCAATGTTGACTATACGCTGGTGAAATTTCTGATTCCTCCAGTTCATGGTTGAATACAGAATAAGCATTGTGAAGATTGGTCTATTTCTTGCTGTTTCTTCGCCTATTTGGCTTATATGCAGTATTTGGTTATGTTCTTGTAATAACCTGTTCATATGAGATTGACCTACTAGCTTCTTAGTGCGAGATGACAGGCGTTGTGGTGGATGTTGGGGATGGCGCTAGCCATGTTGTCCCTGTCGCTGAGGGCTATGTAATTGGAAGCAGCATCAAATCAATTCCTATTGCTGGACGGGATGTTACTCTTTTTGTCCAACAGCTTATGCGGGTGAGTTACTTCTGATCTCAGAGTTCTTAACTATAATAGTGTGGCTTCTAGATGAACTAAATGGTTGCATTCTCATGCTTTTATATGGGTGCTTCTTATCATCAATATGAGTTGTGGGTTAGTTCTTGGTGTTTTCTGGTCTAATGATTAAACTGAAGTTGTTTCCTGTGTGTTTGAACATTACTTTATGGCAGGAAAGAGGAGAGAATGTACCGCCTGAGGATTCGTTTGATGTAGCTCGGAAAGTCAAAGAAATGTATGGCTACACTTGTTCTGATATTGTCAAGGTGATTTTTGCTTATTTTTGAATTCTTGGAAATGGAAGATTAACATTATGTTTTTCAAGTATATAATGCACTTGTGCTCTAATAATTGTAGTGGATGATTCTAATTTGTTTTTACAAATGATTACAGGAGTTTAACAAGCATGATAAAGAACCATCCAAGTTTATTAAGCAATGGAAAGGTATCAAGCCAAAAACTGGGGCGCCATACTCATGTGATGTAGGCTATGAGCGTTTCCTTGGCCCTGAGGTTTGTCATTTTTCTCTCTACAGCATCATTTATGTTGCAAAGCATAATAATGGTATATTTTGGCAACGACTAGTTGTTGTTGCCTATATTATAAGTCAGACTTATTTCTGTCAGAAGATTTAGACCAATGGGCAGAAGAATTTCATTATTCGTTCCTAGACTACACTTGATTTCCTTACCATGATGGCAAGTTTGAGTATGCTAGACATCATAATTGTCAGTGAGAACTTTGCTTGTGTTGCTTATTTAACCATTATAACTTTTACAGTACTAAGATAGGCAGAGCCGGTAGTTGGACTTATTGGGGGGGAAAAGAAGACTTGTGAACCCACCACCTCCTTTTTCTCTCTAAACATTACTACCTCTGCCTATCATAGTAATGTATGTTGAAAATCATGCATAGGCTCTGTTAATATGAAAAGACGAGCAGGCAAGTTGGATTTTCGTTAATATGCCATGTTCTGTGTCACTGTAGTCTTGTTTCAGATGTTTTCTGTGACTATTGAACACATATTTTTGTTTCTATGAAGTCGATTCGGCTGCCTTCCTTCTGAGGCTCTGTTGTCTCATTTGCAGATTTTCTTTAACCCTGAGGTCTACAGCAGTGACTTTACAACTCCTCTACCAGATGTAATTGACAAATGCATTCAGTCTGCACCAATCGACACCAGGAGGGCTTTATACAAGGTAACCAGTTCTAGATGAGCTTAGATGACTTTGTTGACAGGCGGTGTTTCTTTTGTGCTGCAAATCTTTAGGTCATGGGTCCAACTGATGATGTGTTCTTACATGCTCTTATATTTACTTTAAAGGTAGATTCTGTATTGCAGTTGCTTAAGAATTCAGATGGTTCCTTTCTATTGTATAAGCATATGTTTGATAATTTCAGTATGAAGTTCATGCATGTGCAGCTTGACTTTTAGTCCTGTAACGCCAGATCTTGATTCCGTTTCTGATTTTTTTTTAGAATATAGTATTATCTGGAGGATCAACCATGTTCAAGGATTTCGGTAGAAGGTTGCAACGAGATCTGAAAAAGATTGTGGATGCACGAGTTCAGGCATCTGAAGCCATACTTGGTGGTGATATTAAAGTATCCGATTCTTATGCATTTCATATGCTCTTTTTGTAATGCATCACTTTGACTCGAGAAAAGAGGTTGAGAATGGGTTTCTCATGTGGTGGTCTCCAGGCTCAGCCAGTGGAAGTAAATGTTGTCAGCCACCCCATACAGAGATACGCTGTTTGGTTTGGAGGTTCAGTGCTTGCTTCAACTCCTGAATTTTTTGCGGTACGAGCTCTCTCTTCCATGGCTATTTTAAACATAAATGAATCTATGTTGGGGCGCATTTAAAGCGATCATATATGACTCATTTCTTCTGCTCTGCTCGCAGGCTTGCCACACAAAAGCCGAATATGAAGAACATGGAGCAAACATATGCCGCACGAATCCTGTCTTCAAGGGAATGTATTAGTTACTTGATACAGCAGCAAAAGCTTGCTGCACTGTGTACCATGACTTGGCATTCAAAAGTATTTGTTTAGGGGATAGTTGCTGCCTTGCTGAGGAACTGCAAGAAAAGGAGGTGGATTTCGATCAGAAGTCAACAGGGCGCGAAATCAATTTTGTTCAATGGAGTAGGTCTGTCTTGTTCAAAGGTTTATGGTGGTAGCGTTTAGATAGGAACTGTAATTTTAGGAAAGCTGGAATTTTTAAATGTTTTCAGCTCGTTTTTAGAGGACGATAAATATTCTTTTTCTGGCCCTTGTTCTCTTTGCCTGTTCGGGAGGTTGTTGATCATTGTTCACCATACAAAATATAAAATATCATTCATTTTAATGAATTGGATACATGAAGTAATCGTTTCGAGTCAAAACTAGTTTGGAATTTGGAGAAATGTAGTCGACACTTTCTTCTTTTCGATGTACTCTCTTCCCATCATTCGAGGAACGAAGGATGTCATTCTTCAAATAGTGGGAACTGGGAAAGCTTGGTAACCAAACGGGCACGATTGATGGTCATAGAGAGGGGTTGTTCATGAAACAAGAATCATTGACCTTCACTCCTCCATGAAGCTCCTCAGTAACATCAGCGAGATGGTTGATATCCACTCGTGTAGGTTTTATCATCGAAGAAGAATGAATCTAGTATTTTCAGTTTTTTTTTTTTAGTTTTCGTTGTTTCAAGTTCCCGACGCTGTGAGGCTATCACGCGTCAATTGGTATCAGAGCCTGATTTTCAAAAGCCATGAGCAATGGGGCCAAAGAAAAACACCACTTCGTCCCAAGAGCCCAACGACGAGGACGCTGGGCAGCTGCTTTGGGAGCTGCCGGAGGCGCGGGCACGAACGAGGCATTGAGAAGATGATGGAGCAGTTTCAGAACGGGCTCCAACAAGTCCGACTAGACTGGGGAGAGGAGCTAGGAGGAGCAGCGCTGCGACAGGTCAATGAGTCGGAAGTTCGGCAGATTGACCTGCGCGCGGCGGAGAAGACATTGGCGTTGAAAGCGATTTATGCGAATGCATTGGCAATTTCTGCAAATAAAATGAAGTGACATTGTTTTTTTTTTTTTGTTTTTTTTTTTATTTTACTAATTTTCACAAGTGAGATGAAAATAAATAAAAATGGAGACTAAAAGTTTCATATGCCACATTAATGTTAACCATATTTTATGTTAATACTAACATATTAAATTAACAAAGACGAAAGTTCATACTAAAATGATCATATTAAATAGGTTGAAATATAAGTGACACTTTTGGATAGTTGGGAATTGGGATGTTATTAGAGTGAAATTGGCTAAATTCATTCAATAAAAACATCTATCGCAACTATTAAAACTTATTTGGCATTGAACTACAATTTTTTTTTTGTAATAAGAATTGTAACAACATAGCGGAAGAAAAATAAAATGAGCCAATCAGGTAATAAGAAACAAAGAACCTTTTTTTCTTTTATTAATAGATTTTAAAAAGAAAATGGAACAATTCCTTGCAATCAGGTAATTTCCCACGAAGTAAACAATAGAGAAGAAAACACAATAAACACAGACGAGTTTTTTAAAAAATAGAAAAATGGGTACAATTAAACTTTTCCAGATTACGACGATAATCGGAAACGCTGTTGGGATGTCGCCGAAGCTTGAATTTACATTACGAAGTATCCGGCAACGGCAGCAATACCGGCGGCGGCAGAGACAGAGACGGAGCTGGCGTCACTCTTGGGAGCCTCTGCGGCGGGCGCACCAGCGTCGGGGCCGGTTCCCAGAGGACCGGCAGCGACATCGCCGTTGCCGGTGGGGGCGGACGCTGATCCGTCTTCGGTTCCAATGACGCCATCCCCAGCGGGGGCGGCGGCAGGGGCGGCGGTGGTGTGGGCCTCGGTGGCGGAGGAGACAGCCGGAGCGGCGGCAGAGGCGACGCCGATGACGGCGGCGAAAAAGAGAGCCAGGACGACGACCTTATTGATTGCCATTATATATATATTTTTTTTTGGCGGTGGCAAATTTTGCAGAGATTCTCTAATGGAGTCGTCGATTGAAAGATAGAGAAACACCTGCAGGAAGAAGCGAGAGATAATTTCTGAATTTGGCGATATGGGAAGTAAAAAATGAGCCATGGATTTATAGGTTTAATCGGATGGCTGTTAGAATTTCGCGTTGGAATTCGTGTTTAACCACGGGCCGGAGTTTCAGGGAAGCCATAGGTCGTCGTTGGTTCGTTCGTCGTCGTCGGGACGATCGATTTTGTCCCAGTAATTTTTGGGACGAGGAGAAATTATGGAAGGAAAAATCTATTACAGGAAAATCTCTTATCATTTTTTTAACTAAATCCTAACTGTTTTCTCCTTTTTTTTTTTTAGTTTTTTCATTTTAAGCAAAAAAGTAGTTCTACCAATTTTTTCTTTCCATTTTTTAGCTAAATCTTATTTTTTTTACTTGATCAATGGTTGCTTGGTAATGTAACCTCTTCTTCTAAGTTCTGACTGGTAAAGAAACTGGTTTACATGAAGAAAAAAAAAATAATCTTTGAGCAATTGACGATACTCGAGTAGTCGAGTTCCAAATGAAAACCACATCAAATTAAAATCAGAACTTATGTTTATATTAACATATTTGTGGGTTTTTATTATTTTTATAGCTTACTCACGGAGTTTATAAAAAATAATATGCGATTTGTGGATTCGTTAATACACTAGTTTGCTAATGGGTTAATAGCATTTTCTACCCCTCTGTTATTGCAAATTAACAAACATACACCTCTACTAAATTTTTGTACAAACATACCCTCATAGTATTAAAACGTAACTAGTCTACCCTTCCGTCTAATTTTCTGTTATATAGCTGTTAAATGAGATGGAAAATTACCCAAATACCCCTAACTTAATATTAACTCATTTTATCAATTTCTATTAAAACCCAATTAATTTGGCCTGGATTGTCCTAAATAGGGACCTTTGTTTGTTCATTTTGCAGGTGAAGATTCAATTGCACAATAGTCGATCGGTGGCGATTGTCTTGTCCACAACAATTGATACGGCGGGATGGTGGGAGGCGACTTGGCGCATGATCGGGGTGGAGCTCTACTAGAGGATACTCGGAGCTTAGCTTCTCACTTCAGTTGGTTTTCTTTCTGCTTTGTTTCTCGTCGACTAAATAGGGCTGCCCATCATGTGGCACAAAAGGCCCTCTCATCAGGAGTTCGACTATTGTGTTAGAATAATGACTTGAATTTGATTTGGGTTTGTTTTGTGTTTTAGGCCTATTCTGTTTGGGTTTGGGATTGGGTTTTGTTTTGACCTTTTCCTTGTAGGTTTGGAAAAAGGTGTTTGGTTTTGTTTGGGATTAGGAGAAGAGTTCTATAAATACTCTTTATCACCCTAGTCTGTAGTAAGGTCAGTCAGGTTAGTTTGTTTGGTTTGTCCATTTGGAATTTGGTTTGTAACCTGTACTCTCCTCAAAATCAGTGAACTTTGTTCTCCTCTGCCCGTGGATTAGCTAGCACACATTGTGTTAGTGAACCACGTTAAATTTGTGTTCATTCGTGTTGGTTTGGATTATTGATTGCACGCTTCTGTTCTGACAAGTGGTATCAGAGCCTGGTTGCGGTTTTGAGATTTTGGCGCTGGACTAAAGTTTTGCTTTCTGGAGTTTGGTTGGAGTTTGTTTGATAGTGAGAATGTCTGCTATCAGTATGAAGATTGAGAAGTTTACTGGGAGAAACAGTTTTAGTTTGTGACAAATAAAGATGCAAGCACTGTTGAAACAACAGGGTTTGTGGGCTCCGTTGTCTGAAAAATCGAAGAAGAAAAGCATAGATGAAGAAGAGTGGATTACTTTGGAGGAGAAAGCTCACTCTACAATTTTGCTTTGTTTGGCTGATGACATCATCACTGAGGTTGCTGCTGAGAAGAGTGCCGCAGGCTTGTGGTTGAAGCTTGAAAGTCTATACATGACAAAGTCTTTAACCAACAAGTTGCATATGAAGCAACGTTTGTTTAGTTTGCGTATGGAGGAAGGTACATCTCTCAGGAATCATCTAGATCAACTCAATACTATCTTGTTAGATTTGCGGAATATTGATGTTAAAATAGATGATGAGGATGCTGCCTTAATTCTGTTAGTATCTTTGCCACAGTCATATGAGAATTTTGTGGATTCTTTTATTGCTGGGAAAGATAGTTTGTCTCTGGAAGATGTCAGATCTGCTCTACATACTAGAGAGGTTCGACATAAGGCGTCTGGTTCTAGTTCGGAAAATCAGTCATCTGGGTTGGCTGCTACGGGAAGTAGGAGACAGCAATCTGGTAATAGGAAGACGAATATAAATTCGAATTCTACTGGTTTGAAGGATGATATCTGTCATTACTGCAAGGAGAAAGGACATTGGAAATTTGATTGTCCTAAACTGAAGAAATATCAGGAGAAGAAGGAATCATCTGCTGCTGTGGCGGAAGAAACTAACTCTGATTCTGAAGATGGTTTAGCCTTAGCAGTGAATGAACAGGTACATCATCGGGATGTGTGGTATTTGGATACTGCAGCTGATTACCATATGTGTCAAAGCAGGGAGTGTTTTTCAACTTATGAGCAGATAGATGGAGGACATGTTTCTATGGCCAATGGTGCTATCTGTAAGATTGTTGGAAGAGGCTACGTCAGGATGAGGACACATGATGGTTCTGTTCGCACCTTGAACAATGTTAGACATATTCCAGAGATGACTAAGAATCTGATATCTTTGAGTCTACTAGACAACAAGGGTTTCAGTTTCAAAGGTGAAGGTGGAGTGTTGTCTGTCTACAAGGGTTCTAAGGTGATTTTGAAAGGTGTCAAGCGTGGTGCCTTGTATAATCTACAAGGTTCTGTTTTGACATGTTCTGTTGGTGATAAGTGCACCAAGTTGGTTCTGAATGGCAAGTCTCAATATGGATTGGATTTGCCGAATGGTTTGAGTTGTTGACCGCCCTTAGGGGCATTTGGAGGCAGGGGAGATTCTGTTACAACTGATTTGGAGGAGTTTGGTACGTCTGGCAATTCTGATTGCATCTGAGTTTGGCGATTTGCATCGCGTTTGAGTTTGGTGATTTCGATCACATCTGGTACATCTGGCAACTTTGGTTGCGTCTGGTACATCTGGAAACTTTGGTTGCGTCTGGTATTTGAGAGAGAATTCAAGTCAAGGTGGAGATTGTTAGAATAATGACTTGAATTTGATTTGGGTTTGTTTTGTGTTTTAGGCGTATTCTGTTTGGGTTTGGGATTGAGTTTTGTTTTGACCTTTTCCTTGTAGGTTTGGAAAAAGGTGTTTGGTTTTCTGTTTGTGATTAGGAGAAGAGTTCTATAAATACTCTTTATCACCCTAGTCTGTAGTAAGGTCAGTCAGGTTAGTTTGTTTGGTTTGTCCGTTTGGAATTTGGTTTGTAACCTGTACTCTCCTCAAAATCAGTGAAATTTGTTCTCCTCTGCCCGTGGATTAGCTAGCACACATTGTGTTAGTGAACCACGTTAAATTTGTGTTCGTTTGTGTTGGTTTGGATTATCGATTGCATGCTTCTGTTCTGACATATTGATCGACTCCCGCGTTTTTTCTTTCTTCCTCCTTTTGACTATCTTTTCAACACTGACTTTGCGGAAAAAAATCACCCCTTCGTCCTTTCGTCTACCTCATTTCCCCAACTCCATCGAAGACACCATCAGCGGCGTCACTTTACTCTCCTTCTCCAGTTCCTGCTGGCGCAGGTTTGGCAGAATCGGCGATTGTCGGATTTGGCGGCGTGGGCGAGGGAAAGGATAGGAAGCTGTTGCGGCGGAGGTAATGGCGGTGGAGCCTGTGGTTGTGGAACAGAGCAGTGAAGTTGTGAAAACGATTATGGATTTTAATTTGGAGTCGAATGAGGAGGTCCTGGCCATGGTGGATAACTTCTAGGCGGAACCGCCGACCGACATCTGTGAGATACTCTGTTCCAGTTGGTGGATGGCGACCCTTCTTGTTGCTGATCAGAGGGAATTCACCTCACCTTTTCTCGTTTGATTATTGGGAGACTTTTTTTTTAAAGCTTTGCTCTCTGTTTTTCTTAGTGCGTATGTAGAGCTGCTAACTGCTAAGTGAATTCATGAAAGGGAAGCTCTTTGCTCTCTGTTTCCCATAGTTCGTTGTAAGTTTTCTTCTTTTTATTCTCTTGGATCAAGAGAACAAATAGAGCATGCCTGATAATTTTTGGTCATGGATTCCGACTGGCGAGGGACTGTAGTGTAAAGAGTGGTGCTGTAAATGTCGTCATCTCACCCGGTGCCACTTGCTACCGCCGCCGGGACGGAAGTGTTGAGTGCCGCCGCCGCTGATGGTGTGTCGGTGGGGTGTCTTCCGGCGGGTTTGGGGAATGAGGTAGACGAAAGGAGTGGATATGTAGGGGATATTTTAATATTTAATTGGATTTAATAAACATTTGATAAAATTAATTTGTATTTTGGTCATTTTCCTACCCATTTATCGGTCGTTTGACAGATAATTAAACATAAGGGTATATTAGTTACATTTTAACAGTAAACGGTATGTTTGTGCAAAAATTTAGTAGAAGAATACGTTTGTTAATTTGCGATAATATATGGATAGAAAATGCTATTAACCCTTGCTAAGGTATTGTTATCCTTTTCTGTACCATCATGGGTCACCCTAACGCCTTAAAACATCATCAAACTGCAAAACGTTGGCGAGCAACCAATATGAATGGATCAAATCAGAAGAAACAGTCCTTATGCCAACTCAACTTTATATTATGTGAGTTTAAAATAGGCTTAGGTTTAAGGAAGACAATTTTCTCCTGTATTTTCTAATCCAAGTCAATCTTGTTGGGTATGAACCTCAAATACAAGGTAAATGGGTAAAGTTTGATGGATATATATATATATATATATATATATATATATATATATATATATATTTGTGTTGGATTTTTAATCTATGTATTTGCGT